TTTTAGAAGGTTGGTCGCAGTTGAAAGATTCTTTTCGCACCCATGTTGTGCAGGGGAGACAACTGCTTTGCAAACATGCGACAAAGTCAAAGTTATCAATTTTTCAAATAATTTAGAGACACCGGACAGTTTAGAAATCCCCCTGTAATTTGTTGAAGCAGACTTTCAATCTTTCGATATAAGATTCTTTCCAAAGAGATGGAAAGACAGAAGATTCATGGCATAGATTAAATTCCTTTAGATATGGTTTGAATAAGGGAAAATAGGACACTTCTCCAGTAGAAAACTAGGAATATTGTCAGGCCCAGGAGAATAAGAATATTTAAAAGAGTTAATAGGGAAACAGGGAAAGGAGGGAGGAATGGGAAATAACATAACATAAGAGTGAGACATGTTATTGGGGCGAAGAGAGGAGTAAGTTGACTCATTGCCTTATCCATACCGCGAGAAAAAGAGGATGGCAAAATTTAAGTTTTACGCTTCAAGTTCTCAATATTATAAAACTTACTCAGATTTTGAGTAATTTGCCTTTCGCAACGAGTTAGATTATTCTTTTTATAGCATTGACAATTCATAAAAACGAAGTTTGACTTGGCTATGGAGTATTTAGACAAGTTAACAGTCAACCCAGACTTATTAAACTGGGTTTGAACCGGGAATACAATCATCTAAAAAGGAATTAAGGGTGTTATAAAAAAAATTTGGATCAGTATTCAACTCAACCACGTCATATAAGAAAAACCAATTAGTTGCATGAATACGTTGATTGGGTAAGGAAAAGTTTCCTTTGCGAAAGTAACGGCGGAGCTTGTTGGGCACTGAGGATTATGATTACAATTGAGCATTGCAATCGCCAAAGTAGGATGTTATGAATCCTCAGGAAAAGATAGAGGAGGGGACCTGGACACATTGGCATTAAGGTAATTGTTCACAAATACAAGATAAAGTGTTTTATTCAAATGATTAGAAATTGAATTGATTTGAAACAACGAAAAACCTAGCAAGCACAGTCATGCTGTGCTGAAGGTATAAGGTAATTACTGACCAAGATATCAGAAAGTAATTATCAGGCTCATTACTAGAAGCTTCTTTGATACAAGTTATATGATTCAAGTAATCTTGAATTTCAGAAAAAGGCGGAATATAGGAGCAGGTGATATAAATAGCACATGGAGGGAAAGTAACTTTAACTGAGACAATCTCAGCATCAGTAGGCGCAGCAAAACAAGAAGGTTCCGAATTGTTAAAGGCTTTAACGGCGATTAATACATCACCACCTCAAGTCGGCCGTTCTTTTCTATGTACAATGAAATCCTGCACAATCAAATATCGTTGAATTTAAGCATGTTTCAGATAATGCGATTATATCCGAATCAAGAGAAGTGCTAGCTATAAAAAGATTTTTAAGTTAAGAAGTAAGGCCTCTGACATTCTGATACCGAATAGAGAAAAGATCTGAAGACAAATTTATTTTTTTTATCGAAGGGGCCTGAAGGTTGACCGAGAAAAGCTAACTTCGCTTTTTAGGGTTAACCTCGTGAACAATCATGTGAGGGGGGCAAAATTTTGGGATCACAAATAATTGGGAAGGAATCATGAGAAACATTTTTTTTTCACAAGGAGTGGTGAAATTGAATTTCGATGTAGATCTATTAGCAGAAGATCTGCTAGCAATATGGCAGCCACTGGCTCGCAAGTAATGCCAGACAAAGACAGGGCACAAAAATTTGTTTGCGACGGGCAACAACAGTCAAAAGGCGGGGCTGATAATGCGGACGGAAACTGAACTGCAATTTCGCTGACCGAAGCAGGTTTCAAGATGGGGTCTAAAGAGATTATTGAAATTAGGATTATCGCTTGGAAAAGGCGATAAAAACAACATTAGGAATAAATCAAAGTTGTGAGGCACAGATAAAAGTGGCGAAAGTCTTTGGGCATAAGTTGAGGACAAAATCCAAAATTTAGGTTTCTTCACCCGTCACCAACTAATTTTTATGTAGTGCGAAACAAACTTCTGCTCAAGGATATTAGAATTTCCGGATTTTTACTCAGCAAACAGATACGTGGCGGATTTGCTGTGTTTATAAAGTAATGCCAGACGTTTCATTTACACGATTTTAAGGTCTAGTGTCGAAGTAGTAGTACAGGCGATCAACTGTCCCCCAAATTGTCACTTTTGCTTTCTTGTGTCCGAAAGCTTTCCCAGTCTCTTCAACGAGTTTGGTCCCAAGTTCCTGGTCGCTGGCGACTGGAACGCTCACATGGAACTGTGGGGAGCCAGGAGATCCACTCAAAACGGTCTCATATATGATAACTTTTTAGCCATTTAAACTCACAGGATCATATTGAAAATGCAGCTTACCTATGTAAAATTTATGATGCTGCCGCATTTTCATTGCTAGGCCAACAACCTTGCAGTGCGAGAACACTGGCAATAAACTGGAAGTCCACCTAAGGCACTTTAAAGCCCTGAGATACTGGAGTCAGTGAGGCAATCCTTTAAACGAGCAGGAATTTCAGAGAGCAAGTGATGTACTCAGTAAGTTTCTTGCTGAGAATTGAAGCTCCGGAATTGAACCTGACTTGGATAGAGGTTTCTCCATCAGACTATTTACAAAATTGCTAACACCTGGTGCATATCTAATACAGAGATAGAGAGGAATTTACTTTTTGCATGCGACGATTCTTACGCATGTCAACTTGACCCCGCCCAAAAATTTTGCTGTTACATATGGTTTCTTGAAAACAGATCCCGATAGTCTATTCCAAATCACACCCATTTCCATGCCTGAGGTTCGTCTTCAAATACGACGGCTTTAACCCACAAAGGATCCAGGCTAAATTCATAACAGAATTCTGAAGGCTTTTGCTGATTCCAGTTTTTGGTACTCCTCTTTAATTGCATGTTTCGCTTTTTGCACTCCCGTCCAAATGGAAGTGTGCAGTTATTGTAATGACATTAAAGAAACGCAAGGATACGCATTTTTCGGAATAATATCGCCGTATTAGCCAACGGCTAACATTTTCGAAAATAATCGAGGGGATATATTATTTGCTAGATTATTGAGAGTCAGTGCAATTGGTAACGCATCGATTTGGATATCCTGTCACGGAAGGCCATAACAGGTCCATCGCATTTACAGCCATATTTTGGATGCCCTTGAATGCGACAAATACTATTCTGCTATCTTTTCGGACATTCGGCGTTTGATCGAGTATAGCATGATAATCTTTGCTCAATTTTCAAACTATAGTCTCTCTCCCTGGTACGGAATTTACTCTGATGTATTCCCTTCTAGAAGGTCGGAACTTTATGGAAGGCCTGAGAAATACAAGATCTAATATCCCATCATAGCGACCGACGCAGACTCCACGGCATTTATAGCATCGAACCACATAGCTAGTGCGGTGTTTAACACGATGAAACATAGCTGTTCACGGTAATAAAAGCCAACACCGCACGTTTTCGCTGAAGCAGGTTCGCTTATTTAGTGCTCCCGTAAATTAAAGAATCCGCTATCTTCGTTAAATTTTGTATAGGACACTTGTATTAAATACGCACATACGTCAAGCCATTTCAATTTCAAGCGAAAAAGCATTCCAGAAGCACAGTCTTATAAGTCTTATAAGAACAAAATCTCGTTAAACTTTGGGTAATGCAATCTGGGTTACTGCCTGTCAAACCAATCTCGAGCGGATAGAGTCGTCAAAGGGCGTAATTTTAAAAAGGATTTAAGGTATGTGCGAATTCGTACTCTCTACAACGATCTGGGACTGCAGAAACATTGCGGAACCAATTGTATGAAACTTTGCCCAAAATCCACACCATCTGGGTAGAAACTCAAGGATTTTTGGGCTATCTTATTTTCAAAGTTTTACATAACGCGATTTTGGAAATCACACGCGCAACCCACAGTTATAAGAAATGTGCGGAACACGGCTGTATGAAACTTTTTGTTTACTACCGAATTGTATTCAAACTAAATTTGTATAAATTAATTTAAGATGTATTGCACAAGACCCATCGGACTTGGATGAAAACGGATAGAAGTCAATGGTGTTATGAACGAAAGAGTATTTTTAAGATTTAAGATTCGCCAATCTTTTGGCTTTTGATTCTATAATTGAAGTTCATCTCATCCACTTATTTGAAGCAAAAATTGTAAACTAGGCAGGCCAGGACACAGCCGCTACTATAGATAAAACTGTTCGTTTCAGTAAAACTGCCGAAACTGAATCTGAAATTGTTACGTTAGATACCTTATTTGGTGAAAATGCTCGATAAGACGAGTTTTTGGGAAAATTCACTTGCAAGACTTATTAAATACACGTTTGAGCGATTTTGAAAACCTGCAAATACAAAAATTTTGCGAAAAACTGTTATATCAAACTTTTTTTAAGCCTCCCTCGTCCCCAAACTCGTTTTCAAACAACTAGCTCAAAATTCATTTGAGAAGCTGTAAAACCATATTTCGTGCGTGCAAGACTCACTATCACGAAGAGCACGGTAACTGAAATCATCAATGTAGTAAACTATCTGCTTTCAACACTGACAATGTCTGAATGTATCAATGTATCAATTTACAATGCAACAGCTAGAAAAGCAAAAAAAATAACAACTCCGAGTTTATCCTGCAGTCTTACATCTTATGTTTTCTTATTATAAAAAATAACATTTTTGAAAAATTGAAAGTTTTTTCTCAAAGAGCTAGAGAAAATTCCCTTTTTGCAAGCAATCGATATCGAAATACTGTTTTTTTGAGCTTCCTCTTAGATTTTATCCGCTATAGTAACTAAATTTGACTTGCAAATTCTCGTTAAGTATATACAGATCGAGTATATATCTTTGCTACAAGTTGGCCGTCTGGTGGAATAAGGTACAGAGCATATGACAGAATAAATTAATATTCTTAAATTAAATATTTTCTTAATTGGTATACAATCTTAACTAAGCCGAATATGAATGTTTATTCTTAATGTTACTAAAAAATCATACTTACAATATTCTAATCCTAGTAAACAGTCTCGAAACACACTCCACGCCCGCTCCTCTGATAATGGCTTTTCAGTAGGTATTGAAAGAACTTCTCCTTTTTTAACTAACTCGAAAACCATATATAAAGAATCTTCCATTGGATCGTCTAGAACTTCTACTAATTTTACAACGTTAGGGTGGTCAAGTTTTTTTAAAACTGCTATTTCTCTATAAACCCGATCTAGCGGGGATGTTGTCTGTTTTGGGCCACGGCGCATGAACGCAGCCTGTCGTAGTAAACGCTTTTTAGAGAGAATCTTCATAGCATAATGAGTCGAATCTTCCTCAGAATAAGCCAACTTTACAAGTCCATATGAACCCTACCAACAAAATCTTTAATAAAATTCATTTGCCTAAAAATTACATTTTAATTACCTGGCCTATTTGATCCATCAGTTTATATTGATTAAGCTGAAGAAAACTTCCCGATTTCTCAATGGATATTCTACGTGATTCGCGTAAAGGAGGCCTGCGTCGAACTGACCGAGGACTACCGTACGGACTGGCATATGGACTGTATGGAACGTTTGGATAAATTGGTCGGGATTCTGCAGATTGAAATAATGTTGATGCAATATTTGGTCGCTGTGCTGGACGTTGACGTATTTCTCCAGCATACTTGCCAATGTTCTCACCTTGACAATGTTTCATTATGTCGGTGTTTGCGGCTATCAGTTGAAATTGGCTCTCGATAGACCGATGTTCTGTGATATTAGGAAAATGATGGTTATGCAAGTGTTGATCAATATTGTATAAGTCAAGTGATTGTGATTTCAAAAGTGATGGAAGATTTTGTTTTGAGCAGCACGTTTCACTTGATTTAGAAGGAATCGCAATCGTGCTTTGTGTACCGCTAGGAAGTATATATGATAACTCATTTCCGGAAATTGGACTAACCGAATTGGGGGGAAGTAAAGGCTTTCCGCGTTGAACTGTTACTAACTGAGAAGCACCACTTCCCTTCAAATCATAATTTTTATAAGTATCACAATCATGCTTTTCAACATTGTTACATTCAGTTTTTTCGGCGTTAATTTTTTGACAGTTCTGAGCTTTAAAATGTTGCATATTTAGTTGCGTAACTCCAGAACTTTTAGGAATTTCGGTATTCCTTGTGGAAAAAGGTCGAATTAAATCTGTAGAGTCAATGTGCATTTTTTCTAATTGATTGTCCAATAATAAAGTTAATCTTTTATTGGTCGTTTCGGAGTTTTCCTGCTCACAGCCTTTGATAGCATCGTTGTCGTCATCATCCCAAGAACAACTGACGGCACTTTCCCTATCGAATGAATGTTCATGTCCTTTTCTTATTGATTTCTCAGCAGTTTCCAAAACTTTTCCCGGATCTAAGACATTGGTAGAGGCTGCATTGGTGATATTTAAATCCGACATAATGTGACTATGTGCGCATATTTGCATCTGTGACCAGCGTGTTCAAATCTGAAAAATTAAATAAATTATATATTTAACATACACAATGAATATATATAGACACTATATAAAACTGTTTGTCCTGACTGACTGACTGATTGGTGATCAACGTACGACGCAAACCGTAAAAGCTAGGAAGCTGAAATTTTCACTGTAGTTATCTTATGTGATGAAGGTGCACGTTAAAAAAATCGCGAAAAAGGGTTTTATGAAACTTTTTTGTTTATCTTCCGATAGGCCTCAAGATATAACGAACAAGTAAAAGGTTCAAGTCGGGAGCTCCCGACTAGGGGATACCCTGAACCCTCTTATTCCAATCCCAAATGCAGATCGCACAACGCGCTCGTTTGCTTTAGTAGTAATAAAGGTAGATTCAAAAAAAAAAAAAAAATTCCCTTGATAGAGAAGTTCTTGGAATTTGCGCTTGTTGCCCCAAACACGAGGCCAGCAATAACATGCTTTATTTAATAACTTCTGTATTTCTTGTTGAAATTTTTTACATCTTATTGTACTATAGAATATTCGTGTATTATCAAAAAGTCAATTGCATTTAAATTGTGACTTATATTGGTGGGCAGCACAAATTGGTGTTTTAACTTGATTTATAGCTATGAGGTAGTAACGGGGAGGTGTTGATAGCTATTAAATGAAAGATACCTGATTTATATATACTATTCTAGAAGCTATATGTCAGGTTTGGTACTCTAGCTCTTATTATATACCAAAATTGGTCAAAAAACAGAATTTCGATACCGTTTTTTATCGATTACTTAGAAACGGGCCAAGTTATCGAATATCGGAAACAAACTCGATCTGCGCATGGACTAGGAGGACCTGCAGCTAAAATTTCTCTAGTTCTTATACATACCTCGCGTTCATACATACGGACGGACGGACAGTCAGACGAACATTGCTAGATCGACTCGGCTATTGATGCTGATCAAGAATATATATACTTTAGAGGGTTGGAGATGCTTCTTTCTGCCTGTTACATACATTTGCAGAAATAAATAATACCCCTTTTACCCATTTTCAATGGGTTCAGGGTAAACAAATTATATAAGACGTTTTTCACATTTTTCGCAAAATCAAAGCTGGAAAATGTGGGTCAAATATGCAGCTTTAAGATTCTTCTGATTGGCCTCAAACTTACATTCAAAGCCCTAAAAAGAAACTTTATGAATACGTGTTTCAGCTATTTTAAAAATTCCTTTCAAGACTGTGTTAAATTATAAATTATAAAATTGGAATCAATCTTAGTCTTGTAGTGAAAATCTTGAAGACGAAAAAACTTTCCGTCATTGAGAATTTGACCCACATTTTCCATCCAAGAGAGGTTGATTTCGCAAAACACGAATGAAATAAATTTGAGGAGCATTTCACACATTTCAGAAAATTCAACCAAATCAAAGATTTGGTAGATGAAGTTTCGCGTTCAAATTCATTCCCAAAGATCTTATGAAAAATAAACTGAAAAGTGATTCCCTAATTTTAATGAATAGGTGTTCCAGGTAATTTGGAAATTTCACTCGCAGCTGTGGATAATTGGTGGACAAAATGAGACAGTATTGTTTAATATGATATCCGCCTTAAGCTCATTTTCAAAGATTTTAACTTGAAATTGTTTCGCAAAATCCACCTCTGTTGGAGGGAAAATACGGTTGATTTTCAAAGATTTTAACTTGAAATTGTTTCGCAAAATCCACCTCTGTTGGATGGAAAATACGGTTCAAATGTATAATTAATGAAAGTGTATTTTTCGGTTTTAAGATGGGCATAGAATTCAACTTTTGGATCTTTATTCGTTGCATTTAAAACATATTTTTGTATAGCGCTGAGTTCAAGATAGTAAGAGTATATTTATGTTTTCCATTGGGTAAAAGAGTTATTTCCAAAAATTAAACACAAAACTTGACACTTGGGGAATACCGGGATGATTTATAATATGTTCATTAGAATTCATTTTAAAATATCGACTACTGCTCCGAATTGGCAACTTGAACGAAGATTTTTGCAACGCAAGACTTAACTTTACGACAATTGCCAACAGACTGACCTTGACTCTACGAAGCGTGCTGTTTTCGTAAACCAAATTGAATACAGTGGCAGTGCCGTTCATTTAATTGTATGTATCGGCAGCTAAGTGTTGCCACCATCGTTATTATCATTATCCGTGCCGGATGATAAGAGTTCCTCATTTTCAGCGATAAAATACCACAGCTTAATATACCCATCGCTGGTTGCTGTGACACCTGATTCCTCGTCGTTTATAGCAGCTTAATTAAACCAACCGTTCCGCGAAAAAGTCTGGCTCCAGTTTGAAGAGTAATCCCAAAAGATGTTTATGAAAGTTTCACCAGGCAAGTTTTACTTCAGACGTAAACAGGGAGGATTTTTTCGTCAAACAGCTGCATCAGCATAGCTCCTTTACCCTGCTTAGACACGTTTGTGTGCAACTCGATAGGCGCACCTCTTGCGGTAATGTGTAAGATGGGCTTACTTGTAAGATAATTTTTCAGCATTTGTATCGTCGTCTTTCTTTGAGATATTATTAAAAAATCCTGTAAAAAGCAGGAACGATAGAACGATAGTTTTTGATACTTGCGAAATATCTCACTGCACTTCTTCCAAGACAAATCTCACAATTTCACACGAACTACCGAGGAATGAAATACGTTTTCCATGAATTCTTCAGCTGTAGTGGCATCGACTATCATATCATTCAAATAGAGTTGCTTTATGTTCTCATTTACATGACTCTGGAAAATGTAATTTACCAAACGTATAAAGGCTGCAGCAATGTTCCGGAAACCAAATGATGCTTTGGTGAATTCAAAAAGACATTCTCGTGTCACGAATGCAGTGTAAGCTCAACTGCTTCTCGCAAAGGTAACATGGAAAATCCATTTACCAACCCTATGATCGTAAAAAATTCGGCAGCTTGTAAGAACATGTTCAGTCGATGGAACAAGAAAACAATCCGAAAGCACAATGCGGTTTAGCTTCTGATATTCCACACTCTGTCAAAATGTGATATGTTTTCCTTACCACGACAACTTTACTAGCAACATATGAAGACAAATTTTCGATCAATGATTTGCTCAAGCCGTTGTTCGCCCTGTTTCCTTCCGGCTTCGGCTTTTTCGATCAATAGCCGACTTCAGCTCTATTGGAAACTCTTTATCTACTGCAGGCGACTGGTATCTGCTCTAAATCAATTTTTAGTCGGTTTTCAGAAATTTGAACGGATATATCTAGTGGATATTCATCTGTCGACAATTGATTGGTTTTACCCATTCGATTCGCATTACATTAGCAATTAACCACTGCAATAAAATTGTGATCTGTCTGCATGTGATCAACAAAAACAGAACAATATATTTTAATTATTCATTCACACTTTTAAATTTGAATCATAAGTTTTACAACTAAATAATTTTGAATTGAGAGAATTATTATTATTGTGCCGTAATTTTTAAGATTTCAGAGAAATTTTTTATATTTTGTCTCACCTCTATATTTAAAAATATTACATGGAAATTATAGAGAGACGCCTAAAATACAACTATTTCGTCAACCTACCCGATGTCGCCATTTGAATTTTACTGATAAAAGTCGGCATGCGCCTTGCGCCCGACACAACTTGACTTGGTTCAGTGGAATGTTCTAGGTTAGTGGAGGTAATCTGAAGAAACTTATGACAGGTACTGCACTGATATTATCTAAGGCTACGTAGGCCAACGACACGGCTGTCGCCAATCCCTGCAATCTGCAAAAGATGCCGTGCAAGACTGGCTGCCAGAGGCCGAAATCTGCACAGTCGATTGTAATATCACACTCAATTGTAAACATCTACGTATGTCACGTTTACGCTGTGCGCCGACAGCTACAGACGATGGTATAATAAAATATCGGAAAATGCATTCGAAAGTGCATTCTTCAGAGACAGGCAGAAGAAACGTTTCAATTTTAATTGCGTCGGCCCAGTCGTACAAATGCTGAAAAGGTCACAGAATAAGTCCTATAAAACCTATAAAATATTAAAACTCATCAGTATTAGTAATTTAATTACAAGATTTAATATTGGCAATCCAAGTCTATCTGACCTAATAATATGGTGTGAAAAGCTGATTTTGGCATTTAGAGGCACCAAAGCTGCTTTATTGGCTCAACTGGATGCTGTATTACTATCTGCAAGTGCCTCAAATTTCCATTTAGAAGCAGTGAACACTAATAAAGATTTGACAAGAGCAACATCATTCAGATCACGGTAATCACAAGCTGCGAGGCCGTTTAAGTGCCATTCGTTAGCTATGGCGGGGGGTTCAGCGGCAATGGCCGTCTTTGTTACAGAGGCAATCGAGAGATGCATAGATACCTTTGGTTGTAACGCACTGAGAGAGAACGTTCTCTTTGATTTATATTGCCATTTTTTCTTTAGGGGACACGACCTCTAAATTCATCAGCAAAGGTAGCACCGGCAGTTATTTGAGACGCTGCTGAGCTCTAGATCTTTGTTGTGGGTTTAAGGTCGAGTAATCAAGTGTGGGATGACTGGGAGTATATAATTCTCTGTTTTTTATGGACTCTGCATCCCAAATGATTGGCTGAGTGTCCTTCGCCGCAATTAGCGCATGTTCAAATGTCGTTTTCTGTTAAAATGCACTCTGTTGATGAGTGATGATCGCCGCATTTAACACTTACTGGCCTTTTGGTGCAGTATGCTTTAGTGCGCCCAAAGATTGATGCGTCTGGAGATGAGTTGGCGGTGCGCTTGAAAAATGGAACAAGGGAGCCTCCTTGGCGGTTCCAATTAATTGTTCCTTTCAATATTTTGATGGGTTTGACCCTGGGTGGAACAGCTCGGCAGTAGGGTCCGGGTTTTGTAAACGCAGAATTGTTTCTACTAGTATTAGTAGGAATTGCATTGTATTTAGGTTGGCTTGCGCATGAGATGGTGCTTCAGGGATATGACACTCCACAAGAGCTAGCAGAATTCCCAAAAGTGG